TTCTATAATTTTAACTTCTACTCTTAATTTCTTTTCAAGCTGCAAAAATAATTTCATAAGTATGATCAAAAGAAAAAAGGGATATTTTGATTTTATTAAAATTCTATCGTTTATCAATGTAAAGTCAATTAAGCAACATGATAGCTTAGCCATATATTTAACTCAATTAAATTAGTAGCATTTTATTTTGATAATCCTACCACATTTGGCCTTGACTTGGTTCAAAAATTGCAAGACGTAGTTGACTGATGCTGTATTCATAATCCTTCTTTTTCTGATAATATAAAAGTTTAAAATTTTTTGTTTCTTTATATTGAAATGCGTAGACTGTAATTAATTTAGGTTATTACTATAATAAGCTTTTCGCAAATATATATTTAAACTTTTTCTGAATGCTTTCGTTATGTTCAATTAAATCTTATCCTCTTAATTGTTGTACAGGAGAAACAAGAATTTATGATCGATAATATAAATACGATAATATAAAGATGTTTTTTCTTTGAAATAGAAATATTAATTTAGATTATTGTTCATTAAGGATTTCGATTAAGAAATAATTAATCAGTTCTTTTTATAGTTGGAAAACAGGAACAGATATTAATCTTGCTAATCAGTAAGAGTTTCATATTTGTATTCTAAATTATACTTCTCTAAAAATTCTATTGTTTTTGAAATAAAAAGATAAAATATGAAGAAGAGCTATTAAACCTTATTTATGGTTGCAACTATTGAACAACGATTAAAGAGATACTAATGGAGATTCTAATCCTAGTAAAGTTAAAAAATATATAAATTGAAATTAAAGATGAATAAATAAATCGATTAATAATAACACCTAAGAAATGCTAGTTTCTAAGAACAGTCAACCTATTAATTAATTATTATTTAATTGAAGTCTGTATTCTAAAAATATTATAGTTAAATTTAAATTTTAGAGAGCAAATACATCTAAAAAGAAATTGCTGATGTTTTATTTTTAATAAGTTTAAGCTGTTATTTTATGAATAAAATATGAATTCGTTGTAAGATTACTGATTTATAGCATTTCCCTTAATCAAAAAAGGGTTCCTATATCTGATAATCTATATACACTTTAAGAAATTGCTAATTTTTTTTATGGATTGATAAGTACCTATCCTTATATTTAGAATATTCTAAAAATCCTATTGTGGAAATAGGACTGAAAGGAGTTTTTGGTCTAAAGTTCAATTTAGAGTGAAGTTACTTTTATGAATTTCAAGAAATCTTCTAAAGCAATTTTCAAGATGTTCCAAATTAAGGCGATGTGTTCACATATCTATGATGATGAAGTCAAGTACTCCATTAAAATTGCAAACATATTTCGAAACTACGCCATTAATTAATGAACAAATGTGGTAGTGTTTAAAAAAAAAAGAAATTTATTTGTGCTTACCTAAAAATCTAATATAAAGGTTGTTATATAAAAATAAATTTTATATTAATATTAATTTTTTTTAAATATGATTTAACCAAAAATGATAGAATTAGAAAAATAGCTGAAATGTAGTTAAAACCATAATGAACCAATACATATGGTTGTATTTGATAAAAAGTTAAAGAGATAAGAACGTCTTTTGTGTACAATATGCATGGAAACATTTGAAGCTGATACTAAAATGATTGGATTTAAAAAAGTAATTTAGATGATAGAAGATAATTAAAAAAATAAAGTTGAAAATATCTAAAAATTGATCAAAATAGATATTGAATTAGTTGAATAGTTGTTAAATGAACTTGATAAAATAAAATAAAATCTTATTTAAGAATTAGATTAATTGATATCTAATTCTGTAGAATGGATAAAAAGTCTTAATGATATTGGAACTATTAATTCATAATATAGTTTCTTTGATGAATTAGAATAATTAATTAATAATCCTTAACAAAATATATTCAATTCACAATAATTGATTGAGTCAATTACAAAACTTAACAATTCACTTTGTAATAAAATTAA